TGACATGCTCTAGCAGACACCGGGCCATTGTCTTAGCGGACTTGTCCGGTATAGCAGCAGTAATCAAATACTTCGAGAAATGATCCTTCTTTGTCTCCTATTCGTCGGTTGCAAAAAGCGTTCAATAGAGTAAAGCTGAATGTAATGCTTAGAACTCTTGTAGATGGAGGGGTTAACGAGGACTATGGGAAAATCTTTCAGAAAGTAAGCATAGGTTATTCTACTAATATAACACTTTTTTTCTGCTCCAATCTACTTAGCGATCGAGAGAGGAGAAAGGCAGGGTGATCCTATATCGTCCAAGCTTTCACGGCTTTTCTCGAGATAGCTTTCCGAAAATAGATTGGAAAGACAGTCTGAAGATAGGTAGTGAAGAACTAAAACATTTGCGCTTCGCGAATGGCATAGTTCTTGTTGCAAACAACCTCCACGAAATAGGCGAGATGCTACAGAAGCTCAACGCACGAAATGAGAAGTGAGCCTGAAAATCAAAGCATCGAAAAAAAGTAATGCAAAGCCTCAGTATTCCCACGACAAGGTTGCAGATAGACGTTGTGAATTTAGAAGTTGACAGTTACGTCTGTCATAGATAAGAAATGAATATACGGCACAACCTCCATCCGGAGATTGCACATCGAAGGACTGCCGGTTGGAGCAAATTCCACAGCACCGCCGACGTCATCAATAATGTAAAATAAAGAACCGCCTTCTAAACACCGCTGTGTTGAAAGCAATGACATACGAATGCGAAACATGATCACTGACGAAAGCTGAAGAGAGAACGCTTCTGCGACGAAGAAAGCAGTATGGAGCGAAAGACGCTTGATGTATCTCTCGACGACCATACAAACAATCAGGCTTTTCGTCAGATAAGCGGTGCGCACGATACAATTATGAGCATGCAAAGAAATGAAATCCGATGGGCAGGACATGCTGTCCGCCTTGCTGATAACTGGTGGACAGTGCGCATTAGTGAGTGGTATCACCAAGAAAGTAAACAATCACTTGGACGATATTCGAAAAGGTAGCGCAAAAACATAGAACAGCCGGTGGGTAATAACTGAAGGTATGCATCCTGAATATCATTAACAAGAGAATCCCACACTGATAGTTTAAGCGGTCTTGGCATTCTTGGTAATATGACTATTCCAAGGACTTATATAACTGTTCTTCAAAACACTCGTTGTGTGATTTGAAACAGTCCGTCCTGACTACATTCGAAAATTCAGTTTTCATTATTTCAGGTAATTTCAAAACTGAAATTTCCACGTGAAGCAAGCACCGTCATTGTTGCAGAAGACTGCGTCATCGATTCCATAATACAAACTTTTATTCGCAACGGCAAAAAACTGACTGCTAAACAGGTTAACCTTGGTTAAAAAGAGAGCAATGTGCACCTACGCAACTATGACGAATTTTTGAGTCACTCTTCTGAGAAGTTCCAAATAGAATCGCCAAGCGTACCAAGAAGGAATTTCTTTGAGAAAAAAATAAATAAGCGATCACAGAAAGCGATAGGTTTTTGAACAAATTGATGAGCATCTGTGCAAGTTATCAAGATCACTCGTGCAGTGATTGTGGAATTCAGAAATTGATGCCGTTATTAGGATGTAACCATATACCGGACGCAGTCGCTAAAATTTGGAAAAGGCATAAACTCGAGCTGAGCCTCATGTCGTCTGAGGATGCTTAAAGCAATAAAGAATATAATTATAGCGATCGACGCTGTCATCACGAATTCCACGACTTTCTCTGCTTCATTTCGATATCCAAAGCGATGGTAGTTGGAAGCCGAGCTGCGCATCACTGCCCGGTCTGCTCGGAATTTCTCCACAAATGTGCAACTTACCGGATGTAAACTTCCTCATCCGACCGATATGTGATTTCTAGATACCTCGTGCTCAACGCTCGCTGTCCGAAAATTAATAAATAAACTTGTAATGTGGAATCACTTCAGATCGCAAGTCGCCCAAACGCTCGTTGTTGATAGTATGAACTTTTGAGATTAGAAATCGGAAGACAGCAAACCGAGCCTATTTTAAGCGGCATAATCTCTCATACAAGCGACAATGGCGCGAGCTGCTAGAGCTGCCTCTTCCTACACTAAAGTGAGGGTCAAAACTGGACGAGCCGTAAAGCGGAAGGAGTGAGTATCTAGTCAATACGCAAAAGTCAAAGTTAACATAAAATTTCCTTCGTATTTGCTCTCTGTGAAAGAGCAAAGGTACTCCGGAAAGTAACCCAAGTGCTAGCAATGTGAACAGCAAAAAAACGCTGGTGAAGATTAAAATCGAGGACTGCCTACAAGCAAACCGTTGCGGGCCTAATCCCTTGCACATGCCAGAACTAACTTACCATCGAAGCGAATGAACGAATCGTAGTGGAACTGACTGACCCTACTAATGAAGTCGAACCCTTACTGACTGCCTCACAACAGTGCTGCTTCCCACTGCACCATTCTTGTCAGCATTTATCGTGCAAATGCAAAAGATACAAAACCATTAACATCATAAAAACTTTACTGAACGTAAACTGAACATTAAACCAACATAACAAACTACAGCTTCCACGCACATCCACACGCCTTGAACACGCAACTTGATTATCCTAAGCGATCAAACCACTTCAAAGATATTTCTGAATCTCGTCGTAGATTGCTAAGACCAAGGCACCACCAGTACCTCGGAACACGTTTGAAAGTGCGCCCTTGAACATCGCCATACTGCCCTCGTTTTTGATGATCTTCACAGCACAGTCAAACGAATTCTGCAGTTACTTTTTTTTTTTTTAAATACGCAGACTTGTACTATTTCTTAACCCAAATTCCACAGTTTGTGCGCACAAATTTTAAAATTTTTCGACTGTTCTACTTCTCGAAAAAGGCAAAAACACTTCTTGTCATTGTAGCATGAAATCAATCAATGCACACTTATTTTTTTAAATCCTGGTCGAAAATTTCTCCGGATTTTTGAAGACTGTTACGCAGAGGCGATAACCAGAGGTATTTAGGATTTGAAGAAACGTCAGTAGTGAAATGTTATGTTTGTTGTGATAATGTTCGCAAAGGGTGGAATTGAACAGCACCAAGCGCCTGCATTTTGAACTGGGGCATTCTTGAGCAAAGCAAAATTACTTCAATATTGTAGAAGGCAAGCGAAGAAGGAATAATGACGGGCACAAAACCAACGAATTACGAAGATGACTTACGGGTGCCAAATAAGGAATATTGTAAAAATTGATGTAAATCTTACAAATAGAAAAGGTCAGGAAACTTTTGTTTCAAGGAAGCATACCTTGTAAAGAATATCTTTACGGCCAGACTGCATCATCATGCGACGACGCACTGTATCCCACGGATACGACAATATGCCGGAGCTTACAGTGACCACCTGCGCGATCATCCAGGCAAAGAAGAAGTTTAGTTTCTTTTCTGCTGCCACCAATGTCTTCACTGTGTCAAACATGCCAAAATAGGCCGCTCGATAAATGATGATTCCTTGCACCGATACCACAAAGCCCCTGGAATAAAAGTGAGCGAGTCTTCGGACTGATTCCAACGCAAAACATATAAACACTCAAAAAATTTACCTGTACAGTCCAACAATACCATCCGATTTGGCAACTTTCACAATGCAATCGGTCAGTCCTTTGAATTCTCGACTTTCACCCTTGCCAATATCAGCTGCAAGCCGTGTTCGAGCAAAATCCAAAGGATAAACAAAACACATTGAGGCTGCGCCGGCAGCACCACCAGACGCGAGATTTCCGGCAAAGAATCTCCAGAACTGCTTTTCTTTGTCAATTCTGGAATTCCAACAACCATCAGATTGTTTGCAGAAGTATTTGCCAGGAAATTTTGAAAAGTTTAAGTTTATTTGAAGAAGCAATGGAATGTCGAGACAGGGCCAGCTCTACCCTCTCAAGTAGTCAAGATTAGTTATTGAAACTCAAATCGATACTGATTAAGCAATCGGAATGAAAATACTTGGAACTTTCTCCCCATACTGTCATAAATGCGCCTAACATTCATATCTTTTAAGGAACGGCATAATTTTACCTCGGCCGCAAGCTTATTCTTGCTACTCCCCATGTCAGTTATTTGAGGATCGTCCCTCTCACATCCTAATTATGCGTTTTTGCATACATGCAAATGCAACCCAGGTAGAAACGCACCGGGCTTGCCGGTGCGATCATGCACCAGACTTGAAGTACTCAGGTCATTAAATGCACGAATGGTTGTTACTTTGCACCTACATTTTGCGCTCACTAGCATAAGTTACCGTAAAATTACTTAAAATAAAGTAGATAATTTCCATTTAACGGTAGTTCTTTGAAAGTAATTTAGCTGTTCAGTGAAAATTTTCCTGTCAAAAATTTCAAGTGTTCATACGTGAGAACAACGCTAAATTTGGAATATT